GTTCGCCGCTGTGGCCTGTAGCTGCCTCGCCTCGCCGCTTTGTCTCCGCTGCTCTTGCCGTCCTTCCCGCGGCCCTCTGCGGGCGGGGCTGTTGGCTGTCGCTTTGCTGCTCCGCGACGGCGGCCTTGAGTCTTGCTCCCCCGGTGGGAAACATAGAACTGGTTACTGGCCACCTTAGGCGGTGGGGTTTGAATGAGAGCAGTGCCTCGGTAGGTCGTCAGAAAGTTGCAGTCGCCCATCTGAGCGTTTGTAAGAGATGGAGGCAGGAGTGGTGAGGTGAGAGCCCCAGATCTGAGGGTTGGTACTGAATTGACAGCTGTGATCGGGGACAGCCACTTAACCTTTTTGAGAAAGAATTCTCTCCCGTACCGAGACCGAACCGGGTGAACTGTGCTGCCGCCTCCGCGTGCACATTCTCTGTGTTATTGCGCTTCCTGACTTTGCATTGCATCGAAAGTGAGAATCCAATTCGAAATAACGTCTAAAAATCGCCTGCGGCTTTTTGAGCACGCTGTCTTGTCTTAAGAGTGAAATTAGACGTGACTAGTCATTTTTGAAAGATGCTTTAATTTTGTTTAACCTGGCATAGGCAAAAAACTTACTAGCTTTTAAATTTTTCATTGCTCTTCTCAAAAGTTTAGTGTAATTTGTTTCAAAATAGAAGTAACATTTTAAAATTTGCTGGGTTGGTTGGTTGGTTTTGGCTTTGTTTTTAAGCTTACTTGGAAGATGGTAGGGCTGAAAGTTAGTGGAGAAAGTATGCTGAACTCTCCATATCCAGATGAAAGTTTCAACTCCTTACCCAGTTAGATTGTGATTTTGTTGAGATGTGACACTCTAGTGTCCTTAGCATCTATGCCAGAGACAGACACCGAGTATATGCTTGCTTACATAACTTAAATTTGATAATGAAAAACAAATGGTGCCAGCAATCAAATTACAGGCATTCTTTTTGTGACATGACTCGTTAAATCTGAGTATAATGAATGACTTTAGATTGGGAACAATGCGAGGTGTTCAGTGCATTACTAATAACATGTATTACTTATATTTTATGGTAAAATTTGAAATTATAGTACTTTCCCTAAAATGCATATTATCAAGGGTATCAGTAAACTGAAATACGTTGTTAAACTCCTCGCTTTTCTGCCGCTTTCTCTTAATGTAGAGGGAATAAATTAAAACTGAAATTTGGGCTTTTTATTCAATCCTTTTTTTTCTTGCTTGCATTCAAATAATTTAAAGCCAGGCATGGTGGCTCACACCTGTAATCCTAACACTTTGGGAGGCCAAAGAGGAGGATCTCGAGTCCAGGAGTTAGAGACCAGTTTGGGCAACATAGGGAGACCCTGTCTCTACAGAAAATAGAAAAACTGTCGGGTTGTCGTGGCGCATACCTGTAGTCCCAGCTACTCAGGTGGCTGAGGTGGGAGGAGATCGCTTGAGCCCAGGAGGTCGAGGCTACAGTGGTCCCTGGTCATGTCACTGCACTCCAGCCTGAGACCCTGTCTCAACCGATTTAAGTATTTCCCTTGACAAAAAACAAATCTTTGTAGTTGTTCAAACACTAACTTTAAACAAACTGATGCTCATAAGAGGACCATGTAAACCACAAGTAAACTCAGACTGGTTTTGGCACACGTAAGAACCAAGATGAAAAACATGAATAGGTCGGACGCGGTGGCTCACGCCTGTAGTCCCAACACTTTGGGAGGCCGAGGCAGGTGGATCACGAGGTCAGGAGATCGAGACCATCCTGGCTAACACGGTGAAACCCCATCTCTACTAAAAATAGCCGGGCGTGGTGGCGGACCCGGATGCCTGTACTCCCAGCTACTCAGGAGGCTGAGGCAGGAGAATGGTGTGAACCGGTAGGCGGGGTTTGTAGTGAGCCAAGATCGCGCCACTGCACTCCAGCCTGGGCAACAGAGTGAGACTCCGTCTCAAAAAAAAAAAGAAAAACACAAATAAGTTTCATTTGTTCATCCTTTAGTTTAACAAATATTAATTGAGCATCTATTCTGTGCCTGGTATGTTCTCAGGCATCAGGTATGCAGCAAGTGAATCAGATCAGATCTCTGCCAGGAACAAGTGTGGCAGCCTAAAAATCTGATCATTCACAAATGCAATAGTAAAAAGTTTAGTTAATAGGTACACTGGGTCAAATGCGGTGGCTTACACCTGTAACCCCAACATGTTGAGAGGCCGAGGCAGGTGGATCGCTTAAGCCCAGGAGTTTGTGATCAGCCTGGTCAACATGGCAAAACCCTGTCTATACAAAAAAGAAAAATTATCTAGGCATGGCGATGCATGCCTGTAGTCCCAGCTACTAGCGAGACTAATCTGGGAGAATTGCTTGAGCCTGGGAGGTTGAGACTGCAGTGAGCTGTGATACTGCAACCTGGGCATCAGAGTGAGACCGTCTCAAAACAAACAAAAAAAACATAGGTACAGTGATGTTAGCAGTGCGAATTAACCTTGCATATACTTAGCTCTGTAATGAACAGTGAATTTATTAAATAGCCAATTAACCCAGCTATTCTAAAGCAAGTACTACAGGTTGAAGCTTTGAAGTTATGTGACTTTGACTTTTATTAAGGAAATGCAGAGCTGAGGCTAACATCTTTTTTTTTTTTTTTTAGACGGAGTCTCACTCTGTCACCGAGGCTGGAGTGCAGTGGCGTAATCTCAGCTCTTTGCAACTTCCGCCTCCCAAGTTCAAGTGATTCTCCTGCCTCAGCCTCGCGTAGTAGCTGAGACTAACCCAATATTCTAAAGAAAGTACTACATATTGAAGCTTCAAAGTTCTACAACTTTTACTAAGGAAATGCTGAGATGAGGCTAACATCTCTATTTTGTTGAGATGGAGTGTTGCTCTGTCACCCAGGCTGGAGTGCAGTGGCATGATCTCAGGTCACTGCAACCTCCTCCAGGTTCAAGTGATTCTCCTCCCTCAGCCTCCGGAGTAGCTGGGACTACCGGCGTGCGCCACTGCAACTGGCTAACTTTTGTATTTTTAGTAGAGATGGGGTTTCACCATGTTGGCCAGGCTGATTTCGAACTCCTGACCTCAGGTGACCCCTGTCTCAGCCTACCAAAGTGCTGGGATTGCAGGCATGAGCCACTGTACCCGGCCCTAACATCTCTTAATATTTGTCCCAAATAACTGGGTTTTAAGTGTTCTTCAGACATAATGAATATAGTATTAAGTACTACATTCTTGAACTTGAGTACATACTTGAACCTCCGCCTCCCAGGTTCAAGTGATTCTTCTGCCTCAGCCTCCTGAGTAGCTGGGACTACAGGTGCACACCACCACGCCTGGCTAATTTTTTTATTTTTAGTAGAAACGGGGTTTCACCATACTGGCCAGGCTGGTCTTGAACTCCTGACCTTGTGATCCATCAGCCTCGGCCTCCCAAAGTGCTGGGATTACAGGCATGAGCCACCATGCCTGGCCCTTTTGTGTGTGTGTGTGTGTGTTTTTAATAATAATAATTATTATTATTACTATTATTTTGAGGCAGGCTCTGCTCTGTCAGCTAGGCTTGGAATGCAGTGGCTGGATCTCAGGTCACTGCATCCTAAACCTTCTGGGCTCAAGCAATCCTCCCAATCTCAGCTTCCCAAGTAGCTGGGACTGTAGGCACATGCCACCATTCCCATTTGTAATTTATTTTTTAGAGACAAGGTCTGTATTGCCCAGGCTGGTCTTGAACTCCTGGGCTCGAGTGATCCTCCTACCTTAGCCTCCCAAAGTGCTGGGGTTACAGGTGTGAGCCACCACACCTGGCCTGTTTTTAAATTTTAATTTGTTTACTTTTGGTAAAGACCAAGTCTAATGTTGCCCAGGCTAGTTTTGAATTTCTAGCCTCAAGGGATCCTCCCACCTCTGCCTCCTAAAGTGCTGGAGTTGCAGGCATGAGCTACTGTGCCAAATGGGAAAGTACTTTTTTAAAGTTTCCTATGAACGGATACACCTGAAAGTTATTGACTTCACTGTAGCATTTTCAGCCTAGCTAGTGTTATCGTGGATTAAGAAAGATGAATTCATTAGCAATATAACTTTACTAAGGATAATCTGATTGTGATACTCTTTTATTTCCGTATCATGTTTGCATGTAAAAATACCAGCAGATTTGCGTAAGGCTTTTTATGATTAAGAAAAATAGGCCGGGCGTGGTGGCTCACCCCTGCAATCCCAGCACTTTGGGAGGCTGAGGTGGGCAGATCATCTGAGGTCAGGAGTTCGAGACCAGCCTGACCAACATGGTGAAACCCCATCTCTACTAAAAACACAAAATTAACTGGGCATGGTGGCGCATGCCTGTAATCCCAGCTACTCAGGAAGGTGAGGCAGGAGAATCGCTTGAACCAAGGAGGCAGTGGTTGCAGTGAGCAGAGATCGTGCCACAGCACTCTAGCCTGGGCAACAGAGGAAGACTCCGTCTCAAAAAAAGAAAAAAAATTTTAATATTAATGGATATTCTAGTTCACTATGTATGAGTGTGTTACACTGCACTGAATTCTTTCAGCTGACTGAAAGATTTGCTTGCAGCTGACTGACAGTTGACAAGTGTGGTATTGCTCTTGGTGTTCCTGTAAAGACATTTTCCCTGTAAATGTGAATGCATCCTCTGTGTTTCAGTTTTCTGGATTTATCCTAGTTATTGTAGGTTGGGACTGTTACTTGCCAAGTTGAAAGCTCTTAAATTCTTAGACAAGGTTAGAGCTTAATGTAGAAGTTGAATGACTGTCATTCCCCCACTCATTGTTAATAGTTCATTAGCACAGAGATCTAAACACTTAAGTGGTCTTTTTTTAATACAGGAATTTTTGTATAAAATGTCATTGAGTCTTAGATGAGATTTTTGGGGAAGAGGGGGTGTTAGTGATCAGGTAAACTTGGGTGACTGCATGGGTTTTTGATCTTTGAATATTTAATTATATTCTTCTGTACTAGTTTTCCTTACATTAAAAATATGACAGTCTTAGAAGCATACGTTTATTCTCCTAGGTGATGGTCTAAATTTGCTTCTGTGGGTCTGGAAGTTACTAGAATGTTGGGTTATTCAGCAGTATTTTTGCCCTTGTGTTTTCCCTTAACAGAGAAAAATAAAAGTACTTTTCTAATAGAGATAGAGTTTAAGATTACAGTTAATTTTCCTACCCTTTTGAGAACAGTGACAACAAAAGCCTTCTCTTTGTAAACTGATCTTTGACTAACATTTGACTGACTGTTCCTCAGTCTCTCTATTCTGTCCTCCTCAGTTCCTGATGGTGGCAGGAGGGGATGGGGCTAGGTTCCATATGAGCTGCCTTGCCCTTGTCTTTGTTCATGCGGAAGGTGCAACAGCTGCTGTGGCTTATGCATTCGTCTTAGTTGCTGCTTTATGTAGTCTATATTTTAGTAGTTTTATTTTTCTGAGTAACCAAATCATCTGTCACTTAACTATACATTTTATAGTTATATTTTTTCCCTTTGGATGTGTATTAAATTTAGAAGTTTTAGTTTAGTTTTGTTTCTGTTAATCTTCACACCAGGTCTTTTCTGTGCTTTAGGTTGATTCTTCACCACACTGAAACCATTAGGAAAAATCCTTGTGGTTAACAGCAGAGGCTTCAGAGTGTAACCTGTACTCGGGCCTAGAAATTATTTAAAATGGCGACTGATACGTCTCAAGGTGAACTCGTCCATCCTAAGGCACTCCCACTTATAGTAGGAGCTCAGCTGATCCACGCGGACAAGTTAGGTGAGGTAGGGGCTGACACATTCTTGAAGCTCACTCTTGGATCAATCCCTGACTTCAGGCCCTGCTGGGTCCTCCTTCTTGGTACATGCTCCTTCCCTTACTTTGGGGAGTCTAGGTTGTGAATTTGAAACAAAATCAGATTCTTTTCATCTTCCCTTTCCCCTCAAATTCCTGAGAAAACCTCCAACCTTCTAAATTTATAGCAAATCAACTATAATTATGTGTTTCCATTTGAAATTCAAGCTAAAATAACATACTTTTAAAAAGTGTATCTTAAAAATCGTATTTCACTTCAAAAAAACTTGTTAAAAGTAGTTTGCATCAGATCCTGGAGTCGACTTGAAGAATTCTCCTACATCTTCTGACACCCAGTTAGGCCCTTTGAGAAAGAGATAAAACAGAATTTTTTAATGCATGTTTGATTATGGCCATCTCTTTTCTTAGAAGGTAGAAGATAGCACCATGCCGATTCGTCGAACTGTGAATTCTACCCGGGAAACTCCTCCCAAAAGCAAGCTTGCTGAAGGGGAGGAAGAAAAGCCAGGTAAAGTAAAATGGTGACACAACTTAAAACATCAAAAGTTATACTGCAGTTTGGAGTGTCCCATAAATTCTTTTGAACTTAATTATTCTTTTTTCATGGCTAAGTGTTTTGGGGAAACATTTGGAGAGAGAATCAGTAGCTATTGGTATGTCATTGCCAGACCATGAGGGCAAAGTAAGATTTCATCTTCTCTGTAAAGATTTTTGGAAGGTGAAAGTGATATGTTGGAATTAAAAACAGAAAAATGGTTGGGGATGACAGGAATGGCCAAAGAGTAGCATTCTGGACATAAAGTGTCATGGGGATGAATGCAGTGTGGGAGAATGGAAAACGTGGGCCTTTAGGATAGACGTGGAAAGTTCATCCAGAAATCATCTGGAGGCCTTAAGAGAAGCAAGTGGTGATCTGTTGATCTGTAACAGGTATCGGTAGAGAAAAGTCAGTGGTGGGAGCATAACAAATGGAAAGAAATATAAACCCATCAGTATGGAGTGCTGGTGCTCCGTTATGGCGTCTATAACCATCTCTTCTCCTTTTCCCGTCTTTATTTTTCTTCTCATGATCTTTTTGTTTTTTTCCTTTGTCTTTTCCCTTTTTGCCTTTTTCTCTTGCCTTTTATCTCAAGTTTTTCAGGGATGAGCACACTGTGCTGCCTCTGTTGTGGCTGTTAGAATCAATTATTTGCTGACTAGCATGTATTAGGAATAGAGGGCCGGGCACAGTGGCTCACGCCTGTAATCCCAGCACTTTGGGAGGCCAAGGCGGGTAGATCAGCTGAGGTCAGGAGTTCGAGACCAGCCTGGCCATCATGGTGAAACCCCGTCTCTACTAAAATTACAAACATTATCTGGGCATGGTGGTGCATGCCTGTAATCCCTGCTACTCAGAAGGCTGAGGCACAAGAATTGCTTGAGCCCAGGAGGCAGAGATTGCAGTGAGCTGAGATGACGCCATTGTATTCCAGCCTGGGCAACAGGGGAAACTGTCTCCAAAAAAAAAAAAAAGGAATACAAAATACGTGCATCCTTGTTTCCTGTATCCCTTGGTGCATCAGGACAGACATCAATAATGAGTCAATATACTCTTTTTTCTGGCTGAGCCTGGATTTTTTTCTCTAAATCCTTCGATGAATGCTGTAAGCAATTTGGGCACCCTAGCCTAAGGCAGTTAAGAAACATGAGAATCCGAATATTTGAAAAAGTAAATGGGTGCTGGTGAGTTGAAGATAGGTTATCTTGTCCAGCAGTGGGATAAGCCGCTTGGTGGTCCATCTTGATCCATGTTTAACAGCCAGCTGAAGCCACTAAATCACTAATAACATCAGTTTTCAGAATACGTGCCAGAGGGTTCAGAGGTAAAGTATTAGAAAAGTCAACCAAGAGTTTATGAAGAAACAGTGTCACTTCACAAGTTGTATGTTTGTTTAATCTTCTCTCTATCCCATTTTGTACATAGTATTTTGTACATAGAAATTAGACTTCACTCATTTTAAATTTTATAAACTCTACATTTTACCCAGAAACAGACAGTAGTTCAGTGAGTTGGAAACAGTCTTATACAAACTACATATTCAGTATCCGTTGAGTGACTGAACTTTAAGCCATAACTCTTGAGCAGTTACTCTTGAGAAGAGAAAATAATGTAAAATTAAATTTATAAGTCTCATTGCAGTAAAACCCGTGAATGATTCTTAGCTTTTCATCTTTTTTAGAATAAGACAAAGTATAAATAAACATGACTAACTAATAGTAAATTCTTGCCCATGCAGCCATTTAGGTCAAGTTGTTGGTGTGAGAGGCAGTACAAGATATATCATGATGAAAAATACATTTTATTTTGGAAAACCTAAATGCAGTTACTATCTTTATCCCCAGATACCATTGTTACAGTGAAGTTCTATCCATAATACTTTGTGATCCTAAGCATATGGAAAACAATTTTAGAAGCAGAGAAGGCCAAAGGAGGATGGAAATCACTCGCTTAGTATAAGTGTTAGAATTGTACTTATGCGATTTGGTTTTAAGAAAGAAGTGACATTTTAAAATTCTCTTTATGTGTAGGCCACAAAGAAGTCCTTGTCATTATTGCAATAAGTAGTTCACATAATTTAAATGATCAAATTCTTCAAGCATATACTTTGGTTTGAAGTATATGCTTGCCACTGGAGTCCTTTTTTTTTTTTTTTTGAGACGGAGTCTCGCTCTGTCGCCCATGCTGGAGTGCAGTGGCACGAACTCGGCTCACTGCAAGCTTCGCCTCCCGGGTTCATGCCATTCTCCTGCCTCAGCCTCCTGAATAGCTGGGACTACAGGCACCTGCCACAGCGCCCGGCTAATTTTTTGTATTTTTAGTAGAGACGGGATTTCACCGTGGTCTCAATCTCCTGACCTTGTGATCCGCCCACCTCGGCCTCCCTGGAGTCCTTTTTCTTTTGTGTGTGTGTGATTGTTTTTTGTTTTTTGTTGTTGTTGTTGTTGTTTTTTTGGAGTTCTCTGAAGTCCCTGCATAACCAGTGCCTGGGGTTCAGAGACATGCTGTGAAGGAAAGGCACAAATAACAGCAGACCTCCATGTTCCCCTCTCATATTTCTACTCTTGCTTCAGTCATCCTCTTGGAGAATACATGAGTTTTTTATTACTTATTCTCTGAGATTTGACTGTTGAATTATAAAATGGCTAATTTCTTTATAAGTCTCATGAATATTGCAAAGTAGAATAATTAAATCATTTGGGATGAAATGAGTTTTCCTTTCTGTGTAATTTCCTGGTCTATCTATTTTTCTAATAATAGATAACCACCTGACCAGGCAACTTGAGTGACATAAAGAATGTAAGAAAACTGCATTAGTGGTCATTTGTTTTCATTCTAGAATTCATTTGTTAATTGGAGACTTCGGCTGGTCCGTTTAATAAGATAAACTTTTACCCTTTTATTGACTCAGATTGGAATACATCTGCTTATGCAATTCTGCTCACCTGATTTTTTAGAACCAGACATAAGTTCAGAGGAATCTGTCTCCACTGTAGAAGAACAAGAGAATGAAACTCCACCTGCTACTTCGAGTGAGGCAGAGCAGCCAAAGGGGGAACCTGAGAATGAAGAGAAAGAAGAAAATAAGTCTTCTGAGGAAACCAAAAAGGAGTAAGGAGTTGTGTCTTCTTGCTATTTGTATTTGAAGAAGGTGTAAAAGGACTTTAGATCAGATTGTTTTAAAGTGTTATAACATTGGCTTATGCTAGGTATTTGCTATTTGGATTTAATTTTTAGAATTACCATTTGAAATAGGTTTATTATATAGTTGTATGACCTGTTAGAATATGCTGTAGTTAGCAGAACACAATGGTTTGAATGATCCAAATGTCTTTGTCATTGACTTTGGAATATGTTTTTGAGCTTGTAATTTATTGTGGGAGTATCTGATATTTTAAGCATTGGCAAGACTTCAATAAGAAATGAAACATAATTATAAAAATCTGACCTAGAAGACACTTCACTATTTTATTCCTACCTCTGTGTCAGGAGTGGGTTGCTTTTGTGTGCTTATGTTAGAAGGGGTTAGTCTGTATCAAGCTATTGGTTAGTGTGACCTAAAAGTCTATATATGTTTGATGAAGTATTCAGTTGGAGAATTGACTTTGAGAATCTGAAAGTAAAATTTGCTGTTGATATGTATCTATATAAGGTGATGGCAGTTACTTTTTAATTTTTAATTTTTTTTTTTTTTTTGCAGGAGAGCTGGTAGTATTCATTCTACTCTTTTCATAATTGGTCAAACAGTTAGAAATTACTTTTAAATAGAGTCATGCATTGCTTAACAATGAGTATGCATTCTGAGAGATGCATCTTTAGGCGATTTCATCATTGTGCCAACATCATAAAGCGTACTTACACAAACCTACATGGTACAGCCTACTACATAACTAGGCTTTATGGGATAGTCTGTTGCTCCTAGGCTGCAAACCTGTACAGCATGCTACTGTACTAAATACTGTAGGCAGTTATAACACAGTGGTAAGTATTTGTGTATTTAAACATAGAAAAGGTACAGTAAAAATATGATATAAAAGATTTAAAAAAAGGTATACCTTTGTAGGACACCTGCCATGAATTGACCTTAAAAGATTGGAAGTTGTTTGGGTGAGTGAGTGTAAGTGAATGCAAAGGCCTAGGACATTACTGTGTGCAACTGTAGACTCTGTAAACACTGTATGCTTAGGCTACACTAAATTTATAAGCTTTTTTCTATTTTTAAAAGTTTTTATTTTTTAAAACTTTACTAAAAACAAAGACAAAAGCCAGACTCAGTGGTGTACACCTGTAGCCTTAGCTACCTTAGCTACTTAGGAAACTGAGGTAGGGGGATTGCTTGAGTCCTGAAATTTGAGTCTAGATTGGGCAACATTGGGAGACCTTATATCTATAAAAAAAAAAAACAAAACTAAGACACACACACACACCCCTTAAGCTAGGCCTGCACAGGGTCAGGGTCATCAGTATCACTGTCTTCCACCTCCACATCTTCCACTGGAAGGCCTTCAGGGGCAGCAACACACATGGACCTGTCATTTCCTATGATAACAGTGCTGTCTTTTGGAATACCTTCTGAAGGACCTGCTTGAGGCTGTTTTACAGTTAACGTTTTTTTTTAAGATAGAAAGCATATATACTCTAATGATAAAAAGTAGAGTATACTAAACACATAAACTAGTAACATAGCTGTTTATTATCAAGTATTATGTATAATGGTAATGTGCTTTTTTTTTTGTGGGGGGAGACAGAGTCTCGTTCTGTCACCCAGGCTAGAGTGCAGTGGCGCGATCTCGGCTCATTGCAACCTCCACTTCCCAGGTTCACACGATTCTCCTGCCTCAATCTCCCGAGCAGCTGGGACTACAGGCATGCGCCACCATACCCAGCTAATTTTTGTATTTTTAGGAGAGACGGGGGTTTCACCATGTTGGCCAGAATGGTCTCAATCTCTTGGCCTTGTGATCTGCCCACCTTGGCCTCCCAAAGTGCTGGGATTACAGGCATGAGCCAGTGTGCTGTATTTTTATGTGACTGGCAGCACAGTAGGTTTGTTTACACCAATGTCTCCACAAACAAGTGAGTAACTTGTTGTGCTGTGATATTACCACCACTATCATGTTAACCAGGTAATAGGAGGTTTTCAGTTCCATTATAATCTTATGGGACGACCATCGTATATGTGGTCTGTTGACCAAAATATTGTTATGCAGCACATAACCATAAAAGAATAACTTAGTAATAACTCTACCTTCTAGCTGTAATATTCAGGGTATTCTTTATCTGAGTTTCATAAGTATAGCTAAGGTCTGTGGAATTTATAGCGACTATCGTGTGTGTGTGTGTGTGTATGTGTGTGTGTGTGTATATGTGTGTGTGTATGTGTGTGTGTGTGTGTATGTGTGTGTGTGTGTGTGTGTAATAGAGATGGTATCTCACTATGTTGGCTAGGTTGGGCTTGAACTCCTGGCCTCAAGCAGTCCTCCAACCTTAGCCTCCCAAATTGCTGGGATTACAGGCATGAGCCACTGCACCCAGCCTATCCTCTGTTGTTAAATGTTCTAATGCATCTATTAGGTGCACAGAGCACTATTATATACTCAGAATAAAATTTATATAATTCTTTAAATCTTACAAAATTGCTTTGATAAACATACTCCTATAATTCTTGCAACACCTTGGGAAGTAGTTGGTTTTATATTACTATTTTATAGCTTAGGAGAAAGACTCACATCATATACTGAGATCATATAGCTAGCTAGTGAATGTTTGAGTGAAAATGCAGACAAAGGTTTTCTGACTTAAGAGCTTGAGTTTTTCCACTATACCATATTGCATCTGTTGTAGTTGCTAACTAATATGCATTTTAAAATTCTCTTTTATGTACTGAGCCCTTATACCAGTGCTAATTTATGTGACTCCTCTCTTCTGCACCTAAGAGAAAAATACATTTTTAATTCATTTATGGTACCCAGTTTTTAAAGAAAGACTTGTTTTGTAAAATTTTGCTTATGGTACATATCACCTTAGCCTGTGAATAAATTAAAGCATTAATTTTTATCCCTCCCTGGTCTTTTCCTACTTCTGACTTTATACGTCTTTCTAGAGAGTTTATTTTCTATAATAACAATTCTTTGTTTTAAAGTGAGAAAGATCAGTCTAAAGAAAAGGAGAAGAAAGTGAAAAAAACAATTCCTTCCTGGGCTACCCTTTCTGCCAGCCAGCTAGCCAGGGCCCAGAAACAAACACCGATGGCTTCTTCCCCACGTCCCAAGATGGATGCAATCTTAACTGAGGCCATTAAGGCAAGTTTTTATTTCAAGCAATTCATCCTAGATTTATTATGTTCATTTTTTTTCTTATTTGAAAATGGCATATTTCTGTCTAGACATAAATCTTGCTCTGCTTCCTAAAGGAGTTTTAAAGAGAGGAAAGTCATTATGAGTTCATGTTTTTCTAGTATAATCAGATTTGGTGAACACTCAATTTTTTAAAAAAATATACATTTGCTATAGCAAATATTTTTAACTTTAGAATTTTTAAATTCAGCTTATCGATTAAGTACAGTTTTTATTTGAAGGCTGAAAATGTTAATTCATTGAACAAATATTTAAGGACTACCTTCCCTCTGTTGGGCGCCCCTGCTAGTGGTATAAAATTAACTAAGGCTAGCAAAGTCCTTGCCCTTATTAATCTAATTGTGACTCAGTAACTGAAAAATACTGAGAATTTTTGTTTAAAAAATATCTCTAGGTTCATTTGTAAAGCTAAGTGTCTGATCTTGGTAGTAGATATCTTTCACACCTGAACCCTGTTATAAACACTGCTTTATCACCTAGACATTCCAAAATGCTTACAAAAATTATCCTCCTTACATAGATTTATGATTTGCTATAATCCATTGACTTTCGTTAGATGTGGTTTTTCTATTTTAATTTTTAAAGGTTATCTTCTAATCTGACATTGCCTTTATTGTATAAGTTTTTTCATTTAATTTTGCCTTGTTTAGTTCATATGATCAGATGATAAGAGGAGTTCAAACAGACCCATCTTTCAGGGACCCTGTTGTTAGGATCTGAGGCAGGATTGGGGAGACAGGGATACAGATGATTTTTAACCAGAAAAGGAGGGATGTGTATAAAAAGGAGCAGCCTGGTTGTCATTCTTAGAATGCGGGAAGATAGCACTAACATATAAATTGGAAAACGGGTTTGCCTTCAGACTTGTCCCTTTACTCCTTCAAGACTTCTTATGCTCTTGTCTCATTAAGAAAACTTTATTGGTCTAGATCACCTCACTGTAGTGAAATCTCTGTTCTTTGTATAGCCTTTCTTCAAGGATTTCACTTGACCACTCAGCCTGGGTTTGAAGGAGCAGCATCATAGTGAGGATGGAAGAAGGACTAAAACTTTAGAATAGTGAAATAAAAAATTAAAACGATATCAATTTGGCTTAAAGAATGGTTTGAATATAACTGTGCATATTTATGCAGATGATTGATTTTATATAGATAATGTGTATTCCATGCAATATGACAAATTATTGCAGACCATGGATACCATTTTGTGTATCAAACAGGAATCATGATACCTACTGCCATCTCACTGTCAGATTGGTGGAGCAAAAGATTATTTGTTTCAGCATTAGTGTTCTTTTCTGCTTGATTTTATTTGCTTTGTGTTTTCTTGTAAGATCAGGAGTAAACCTCAGTAGGTCATTAATAGTTCAGAGACATAGACTTGAATTACATGACTCATATTAATACGGCTTGTTTCATGTTGTACAATCTTTTCTGGACCATGTACCTGTGAGTTATTTTTCTTTGTTGTCAAAGTGTTTAAAAACATTCAATGAAGTTCTTATTCAGTGAGAATGAATAAATGCTACATTCATTTAATAGACACCGTGGCAGTACAAAATTGATGGACTGGCCCATTAGATAAATGACAGATGCTACTTCTGTGTGCTTCAAAATTTAAAGCATTTGATTTCAAGTCAGTGACCAGGTGGAAAACAAAACTTTAAGCATTTGAAAAAATTAAGTATTTGCTGCCTTTGTGACACAATGAGCTACTTCATTCTTCCAGGTGCATTAGTCAAATGGAGTATAAGTAAAATAGGATGGAAATAGAAGAGGGCACATTAAATTCAAATAGAACACCTTCACTGTTAACCAAAATTCTCCTTTAGGACTTTGCCATGTGTAAACCCAGTTTTATGCCATTTGTTTAGATTATCTTTGATTCTTCTCTCTGCTAACATTCATACAGAGCCTTCAGGAAAATGTCCTGGCATGCTCATTCCTTAAGCTCATGCCTTAAAATGGGCCAGATCTGTGAGCCTGTAAGTGATAGGTTTGTTCTGCTTTTCTCATTTTGATGCCAAAGATCCATCTTCTAAATATAGAATGGAATTAAAATGGAAAGAGGTTCTTCATTATACATAGAATGTTGTTCATGTTCAGTATGATCTTTTAGGCTGTTTTGAACAATTTAAAATTGTATTAGAAATATTTAGTAATTCTGTTATTTCTCTACAGCCATTATGAACTGAAGTCTTCTGAAGTTCATTCTTCCCTACCATTTTTGTCATCCATTATCAAGTTCACTTCCAAAATAATTTATTTTGAAAATAAATGTCAGGCTCTGTATCTAATTAAAAAAAACTGGTTTAATGTATATGGTTTGATAAATCTTTTCTAGGCATGCTTCCAGAAGAGTGGTGCATCAGTGGTTGCTATTCGAAAATACATCATCCATAAGTATCCTTCTCTGGAGCTGGAGAGAAGGGGTTATCTCCTTAAACAAGCACTGAAAAGAGAATTAAATAGAGGCGTCATCAAACAGGTATTACACAATTATTAGTAGTAAGATCATTTCACTGTGTATTAGCTTTAAGTCTACAGTTAGTAACGTTTAGGCTTTTTGTGTCTTTTTTGTTAAAAAATAAGTTGCATAATGATGAAATTCCTTAAGTTTAACCTAGTTGAATTATCTGAGGCTAGGTTTCGAAAACATTGGTGCCATTTAAATAGTGTAACTTTTTTCTAGTTTGTTTTGTTCTTAATTAGATTTTTCTTTGGGGGCTGCTTGTGCTTGAAGTCATGTAGCACTGAACATGAGAAAGGTAAGGAATCCTACTACTGAAACAGCAGAAATGAGACTAGGCATGGTGGCTTACACCTGTAGTCCCAGCACTTTGGGAGGCTGAGTTGGGAGGATCACTTGAGCCCAGGAGTTCGAGACCAGCCTGGGCAACATAGCAAGACCCCTTCTCTAGAAAAAATACAAAATTAGCAGGATTTGGTGGCATGTGCCACTAGTCCCAGCTACTCTGAAGGCAGAGGCGGGAGGACCACTTGAGCCTGGGAGGTTGAGGCTATCGTGAGCTGTGATCTCACCATTCCAGCCTCGGTGAGAGTGAGACCCTGTCTGAAAAAAAAGGAATAACAAAAATGATAATTGCCCTTGTCTTAGGTTTGTTTCCATTCAAGCCTAACTTACATGATAGACTTGTTAGTATTAATTTTTAGCTTCATAAATATGCTCACTTTAACTGATTAGTATCTAAACCATTAAAGCCTATTAGGAGTATCAGAAAAGCCTGAGTGAAATGTGACTAGCAGTAGAACCAATGTTGATTTCAGGCATAAGTCTACTTTACCTTGCATAGTGCATGGAGGCTTAGAACCATAGAAATCTAAAGCTAGAATAAACTTTATAATGTGTTACCCTCTTCAGAGGTCCAGAGTGATGAAATAACTACTAACGTCTTAATTTTAAAAACCTAGTTCACCACATTCCTAGAGTCTGGTTACGCTTTTTCTATACCCACTGCCTGTTTGATTAGAATAGAATTCTGTGCCACTCAAGCATTTAAACTCTGCTTAGGGACTTTGAACTAGTACTTAATTTCACAGATGTGTCTTGTCTCCTATGTGCCAGTTGCCTGAAGGTCTGTTACTGAATAAAACAGATTGCTGCTGTGTGGAGCTGAGAGTCTAGCTTTCTCAAAATGTAAAACTGATATTTAAATGGCCTTTAAAATTATCACTGATGCCCAGGCGCAGTGGCTCTTGCCTGTAAGCTGAGGTGGGAGGGTTGCTTCAGGCCAGGAGTTTGAGACCATCCTGGGCAACATAGCAAGGTGAGACCCTGTCTCTACAAAAAAAATTATTTCTGTATTCTATTTTACTTTTTGAGACAGAATCTCACTCTGGCTCAGGCTGGAGTGCAGAGTTGCAGTCTTGGCTTACTGCACTCTCTACCTGCTGGACTCCAGCAGTCCTCCCACCTCAGCCTCCTGAGTACCTGGGACTATAGGTGTGCACCACCACACCCAGATAATTTCTGTATTCTTTGTAGAGACAAGATTTTGCCATGTTGCCCAGGCTGGTCTCAAGCTTCTGGGCCCAAGTGATTCATCCACCTCAGTCTCCCAAAGTGCTGGGATTATAGACGTGAGCCACTATGCCCAGCTTTTACAAAAAATTTGAAAATTAGCCAAATGTAGGGGTGCATGCCTGTACTCCCAACTCAAGAGGCTGAGGCAGGAGGATTGCTTGAGTCTGTAGTGAGCTATGATTGTGCCAGTGCACTCCAGCATGGGTGACAGAGTGAGACCCTGTCTCTAAAATAAAACAGAATGATCATTGACTAAAAGGTCTTAACCTAGTTAATATGATTATCAGAGCCAAGGACCTGTTGTGTAACATAGTATATGTCAGCAAAGCTTATGTGATGGCTTCATGTTTTAGCTTGACCTGCTGTAGCCTACGTAGCCTGACCACCCTTGGTTGATGCCTAAACAACTCTTAGTAGGCTAAAAGCATTCCAGCTTGATTGCTCATTGATAGCAGTGTAGGTAAAACTAAGCTGTGGAAGACTTTAATTATTGTGAATCAACTTTTTTTTTTGAGATGGAGTCTTGCTCTGTTACACAGTGGGACAGTCTCAGCTCACTGCACAATCTCAGCTCACTGCACCCTCTGCCTCCCATGTTCAAGCAATTCTCCTGCCTTAGCCTCCTGAGTAGCTGGGTTTACAGGCACCCGCCACCACACCCAACTAATTTTTGTATTTTTAGTGGAGACAGGATTTCACCAAGTTGGCCAGGCTGGTCTCAAACTCTTGACCTCAAGTGATCTGTCCACCTCGGCCTCCCAAAGTGCTGGGATTATAGGAATGAACCACCATGCCTGGCCTATTGCGAATCAACTTTAAAATTTTATGAAAGTGCTTTGTGAACTGGAAATATGTGGTAAAACTTAGCATTGTGTGCAGTGGCTAAAAAATTGTTTTTTTTTTTTGAGATGGAGTCTCGCTCTATCACCCAGGCTATAGTGCACTGGTGTGATCTCAGCTCACTGCAAGCTCCGCCTCCCGGGTTCACACTATTCTCCTGCCTTAGCCTCCTGAGTAGCTGGGACTACAGGCGCCTGCCACCACATCCGGCTAATTTGTTGTATTTTTAGTAGAGATGGGGTTTCACTTTGTTAGCCAGGATGGTCTGGTTCTCCTGACCTCATGATCCACCCACCTTGGCCTCCCAAAGTGCTGGGATTACAGGCATGAGCCACTGTGCCCAGCCAAAATATTGTTAGATAACCCTTCCCATAAGGAATAATGTATCGTTGGTAAACTATGGGAAGTTATGTGGCCTGAGACTAATTAGGGTGTAAACTTTTTCCAAGGAGCTTTTAAGATAGTGAGGGCTTTTCTTATTTTCCCTGAGAGATTATGTCCCTTCCTTCTGTGGGATATTTTTATTTTGCTTTTTTATTTCGTTTTGAAAGTTTTTAATAGACGATTTAACCTAGTATCACAGTAGCATTCTTCTCAAAATTTTGTAGATGAGAAAACAAAAAGCTCAGAGGGTTAACTGGGTTGTACAGTATTACTCAACATCAGCTAGATGGTACGTAAAGGACCTTTCATCTGAAGTCTTTTGACTTTTCATTGACTTTTTTTTTTCTCTGAAGAAGTAAACACCACTTTACATTAGCTCTTGCATTACCATGCCCTGTAATTTCCTTAGCCTAATGTAAAGTTATGAATACTAGAATAACAAAAATTAATTTACTTTAGGTTAAAGGAAAAGGTGCTTCTGGAAGTTTTGTTGTGGTTCAGAAATCAAGAAAAACACCTCAGAAATCCAGAAACAGAAAGGTAAGACAATGTATACCACAGTTTGAGTGCTGTGGAGCTGTTACTGCTACCAAAAATAGCAACATTCATTGAGTGTTTGCTGTGTGCCTGGCAGTATGCAAAGTTCAGCCTTTGTGCTAAAGTCTAGGGAAGTTACAAATAATTTGTTCATCTAGTGAGTAGAATAGCCAGGATGCAGATCCAAGCAGTCCAACCTGGTTAAGTCTATGCTCTTAAGTGCCTTATATTAAATTATGGGCAGCTCTATGAATTATACTGCTTTTTGTTTTGAGATGGAGTCTTGCTCTGTTGCCCATGCTAGAGTGCAGTGGCGTGATCTCAGCTAGCTGCAGCCTCCACCTCCTGGGTTCAAGCAATTCTCCTGCCTCAGCCTCCTGAGTAGCTGGGATTACAGGCACTCACCACAATGCCCGGCTAATTGTTTTGTATTTTTTAGTAGAGATGGAGTTTCACCATGTTGGCCAGGCTGGTCTTGAACTTCTGACCTCAAGTGATCTGCCCACCTCGGCCTCCCAAAGTGCTGAGATTACAGGGTGAGCCACCGCGCCCGGCTGAATTATACTGCTTTTTGTGAAGTATCTTTTAAACTAGAGAAGATACAGGAGTTTTTTTGTTTTTGTTTTTTTTAAGATAGAGTCTTGCTCTATTGCCCGGGCTGGAGTGCAGTGGCACGATCTTGGCTCACTGCAACCTCCGCCTCCAGGATTTAAGCGATTCTCCTGCCTCAGCCTCCCCAGTAGCTGGGACTACTACAGGCATGTGCCACCATGCCCAACTAATGTTTGTATTTGTAGTAGAGACAGAGTTTCACTATGTTGGCCAGGCTGGCCTCCAACTCCTGACCTCAGGTGATCTGCCTGCCTCGGCCTCCCGGCATGCTGGGATTATAGACGTGAGCCACTGTGCCCGGCCTAAAAGTACATTTTTACTGAATACTAGACCCAAAAACTACCCAGATCCAATTTTTCTTCCGGTTTTTGTAAATACTAATATTCTTCTCCCCAACACATATCATTTGTGTAAAGTATTTCTGCAGTAATAAAGTGTAATGTCTTGTACTCATTTATATCAGAAATTGAAATAATGTTTTTCTAAACTTTTTTTTTTTTTTTTTTTTTTTTTTTTTTACGACTCTGAAGCTTTTTATCCTTTTTTCATAGAGTTTTCAAACACTTTCAAAATGAACTTTATGCATTACTTTCTGGTGCTGCACTTCATAAATTAGGACCTTTAAAGTCTACACTCCTTTTTACTTTTATGTGTTTTTTTTTGTTTTTTGAGACGGAGTTTTGCTCTTGTTGCTCAGGCTGGAGTGCGATGGCGCAATCTCAGCTCTCTGCAACCTCTGCCTCCCGGGTTCAAGTGATTTTCCTGCCTCAGCCTCCCGAGTAAATGAGATTGCAGGTGCATGCCACCAGTCCTGGCTAATTGTGTATTTTTATTAGAGACAGGGTTTTACCACGTTGGTCAGGCTGGTCTCGAACTTGTGACCTCAGGTGATCAGCCCACCTCAGCACCCCAAAGTGCTGGGATTACAGGCATGAGCCACCACGCCCGGCTGTTTTCTTGTTTTGTTGTTTTTTTTTTTTTTTGAGACGGAGTCTCACTTGTCACCCAGGCTGGAATGTGGTGGCTCTGTCTTGCATCACTGCAATCTCCACCTCCTGAGTTCAAGCAATTGTTGTGCCTCAGCCTCCCGAGTAGCTGGGATTACAGGCTACCATGCCTGGCTAATTTTTATATTTTTAGTAGGGGGGAGGTTACACCATGTTGGCCAGGCTGGTCTTGAACTCCTGACCTCAAGTGATCTGCCCACCTTGGCCTCCCAAAGTGCTGGGATTACAGGTGTGAGCCACCACACCCAGCTTTTATATGTATTTTTAATGCTCTCAGTTGAAAATTTATATCAAAGAAGTTGCCACAAAATTGACAAATTTGATCATCAACTGAGGAAAGCCTTTGAGTTGTATGTAGAAGCATTTACATTCTATAATGATCATAATTTTTGATAATTACTTTTCAGAATAGAAGTTCTGCAGTGGATCCAGAACCACAAGTAAAATTGGAGGATGTCCTCCCACTGGCCTTTACTCGCCTTTGTGAACCTAAAGAAGCTTCCTACAGTCTCATCAGGAAATACGTGTCTCAGTATTATCCTAAGCTTAGAGTGGACATCAGGTATGAGCCATTGGCCTGGCCTTTAAAACTTGATGTGTTACTTCCTTTAGCTGCCTTTTCATGGGAAAGGAGATAGATTAAATACTGAGGAAGGATTACTTTTAGCTAAGAATAAACCTTTTTTGTTGGTCTTATTTTTTTTGCCCCGTTATGTGTTTCTCTTCATATCTCCATGTGTAGTTTTGTTTGTTTGTTTGGAGACAGGTTTGCTCTTGTCATCCAGGCTGGAGTGCAGTGGCACCGTCTCGGCTCACTGCAGCCTCTGCCTCCCAGATTCAAGGGATTCTCCTGCCTCCGCCTTCTGGGTTCAAGCGATTCTCCTGCCTCTGCCTCCCACATAGCTGGGACTACAGGCGCCCGCCACCATACCCAGCTAATTTTTGTATTTTTAGTAGAGTCAAGGTTTCATCATGTCGGTGAGGCTGGTCTCGAACTTTTGAACTCAAGTGATCCACCCGCCTCGGCCTCCCAGAGTGCTAGGATTACAGGTGTGAGCCACTGTGGCCGGCCTTTTATTTTATTTTTTTTTTTTGAGATGAAGTCTCACTCTTGTCCAGGCTAGAGCGCAGTAGCACAATCTCAGCTCACTGCAACCTCTACCTCCCGGGTTCAAGCGATTCTCCTGCCACAGCCTCCCGAGTTGCTGGGATTACAGGCACCGATTACTATTCTTGGCCTACTTTTGTTTTTTGTGTGTGTGTGCGTGTGTTGTTTTTTTTTCTCAAACCCAAATCGTATGTTTCTTTGTAAGAGCCTGGTAGAGTAACTCTTTTAATATTGTTAGCTGTTAAGATATTTAATATTGAACTCTGTGTCTTCTCAGGTTTAAAAAAAAAAAAAAAAAAAACTAGACCGGGTGTGGTGGCGGACACCTGCAATCCCAGCTACTCAGGAGGCTGAGGCAGGAGAATTGCTTGAACCCAGGAGGTGGAGTTTGCAGTGAGCACCATTGGACTCCAGCCTGGGCCCAAGAGCGAAACTCCGTCTCAAAAAAAAAAAAAAACCACATAAAAGTAAAAAGGAGTGTAGATTTTAAAGGTCCTAATTTATTCTTAGCCTTTAATAACTAAAGAATGAAGTACAGCACCAGAAAGAAATGCATAAAGTTCATTTTGAAAGTGTTTGAAAAGTCTATGAAGAAAGGATAAAAAGCTTCAGAGTTGTAAGAAAAAAAAAAGTGTAGAAAATACTATTTCAATTTCTGATATAAATGAGTACAAGACATTTCATTTTATTGTAGAAATACTTTACACAAATGAAATCGTATCTGTTGGGGAGAAGAATGTTAGTATTTACAAAAACAGGAAGAAAAATTGCATCTGGGTATAGTTTTTGAGTCCGGTATTGGGTTAAAATGTACTTTTAGGCTGGGCACGGTGGCTCACGCTTATAATCCTAGCACTCCAGCCTGGTTGACAGAGTGAGACTCTGTCTCAGAAAATATTATAGATGTATGATATATACATACATACATATATATCATATATATATTTCATGAGAATTCAGGCTTCAGTAACACCTTTACACAGCAATAGCAGAATGTTTTCATCATTTAAACGTGGCTTAAAGTTCTGAGATAATTTTGTTAGTAATTCATATGTAAAATTTGCCACTTAACGTCTTGACAGATCATTTAGATTGTCCCATTTGCTCAGTTGTAGATTCATGCAGATATATCAATTTGTTTAAATTTGTAATTCGCAGACTCTGAGAGTGTTTGTGTGAGATGACTTCTAGAAAATTATGTTTAATCCAGATTTCTGTCTACAGAAGACTACTATATTGAGTGCACAATGTCCTGATACAGTTTAGTACCAGTATTTACTTGCATTACTAAGGCATACATTTAGAATTGCTGAGGTTTCAGTCCAGAGGCCACATTTTCAGAAAATCAGTAGTGGTCATCAGAGTGCCAAATTAAAGAGCTAGTGAAATAGTGCAAAAGAAAAGGGAATCATTGAAGCAGAAAGTTCTAAATTAATGAATTAATGTGCTGATGTTTTCATGCTTCTTACATGCTGAGTGTAGTGGTAGTAGGCAGACACAATTATGGATCAAAAATGCATTGTATGATGCATTTAAAGATGGAAACATTTCACTGTTCTTTAATAAAGAATAAAGTTTATTTGGCTCATAGTAACTGCAGGCTGTACAAGAAGCATAGTGCAGCCATCTGCTTCTAGTGAGGGCTTCAGGAAACTTATAATCATTGTGGAAGGAGGAGCTATTGTATCACATGGCAAGAAAGGGAGCAAGAGAGGAGGGAAAGGTGCCACACTCTTAACCAGATCTCACACTCTTAAAACAACCAATTGTTTTAAACAACCCGCTCATTACGACCAGGAAGACACGAAGCCATTCATGAGGGATCCATCCCTGTAACTCAAACACCTCCCACTAGGCCCCACCTGCAACACTGGGTCTCACATTTCACTTTTATCTCGCTTGTGTGACCCCAAATTATCTGAGAGAGGTCTCAGTCAATTTAGAAAGTTTATTTTGCCAAGGTTAAGGTTGTGCCCGTGACACAGCATCAGGAGGTCCTGAAAACTTGTACCCAAGGTGGTCTGGGCACAGCTTGGTTTTACACTTAGGGAGATGTGAGACAGTAATAATGTAAGGTGTACATTGGTTTATTCTGGAAAGGTGGGACAACGCAAATCAGGGAGGGGGCTTCCAGGTTATAGGTAAATAAAAGACAGTTTCATTCTTTTTGAGTTTCTGATTACCTTTTCAAAGGAGACAGATATGCATTTATCTAGGTGAGTAGATGAATGACTTGGAGTTCTGTCCTTTGTCTGCAAGGATTCTCCTTTGTGGACAAATTGTGAGGGAAGTATGTAGCTTTTTTGTCTTAGTGGCTATCTTTTTTTTTTTTTAGGAATAGAATGGGAGGCAAATTTGCCCTAAGCAGTTCCCAGCTTGACTTTTCCCTTTGGTTCCTGATTTGGGGATCCCAAGCCTTATTTTCCTTTCACACCCTTTATTCTCTGCCTTTTGGTGAGTGGAGACCGTATCCTCCCCCATTTTTTTTTCTTGTGGTTCTACTCTACTTACGTAAGGTGGTGTGTTGCTACCAGTGTGCCTTTGCTCCACTTCTTTTGAAACATATTGTCATGACCTTATGCTGAAACAAAATTTACCTGTTAATAGATGGGTTGTCAACCCAAAGGTGCTAATGAGCCTGAAGACCTTTTCTCATGGCCTTTTTAATGGTAATTTTTTCCATTGAAACTTTTTTCTTTTACGTGAAGCCATATTGATTTTCTCTAATTCTTGATTATAATGGAGTCCTGTCATATACACATTTAACTTGAAAATTCAGTCATTCTTGCTTGGCCAAACAAAAGAGGAAGAAAAATACAGTTTCACCAAAATGTAAGTTGTCTGTACTTGGTATCTCCAATGTCTTCCCTTCCACTTTCCCCACTTTAGTCAGACTTTACCCCACCACTTTACCTGAATATTTTCTCAGTCTCACTTTGCAGATTTCAGTGGTCAATTCATAGTCCTTACCAACTGCCCTCTCAATGGCATTTGACACAGTTGATGACTCCTACCTGCTTGAAACATTTTCTTTACTTGCCTTCCAGGACACCACACCTTTGTACCCCTCCTTTCTCAATCTTCTAAGGATTTCTGCTTTACCTCTTAATATAAAGGTGCCCTCAGGGTTATACCTTAAGCCTCTCATCTTTTATGTCCACATTTGCTTGGTGATTCCTTTCACTTGCAAAGCTTTAAATACCAGCTATAAACTATTAATTCACAAATTTATGAATCTAGCCCATACCTACCTTGTAACTTCAGATTCGTGTATATGGATGCCTGTTCAACATCACCACTTGGATGTCTGATTTAAATGTTGAAAACTGAACTCTTGATCCCCACTCTGCTCCCGCTCCACCCCAAAATCCCTGCATTTCCCACGTTATCTTCATTTTAGTTCATGACAATATTATCTTTCCACTTGCTGAAACCAAAAAGCCTGGCTTTGTGCTGGTCTCTTCTCTTTGTTACACACCTTTCTCTAATCTATAAGCAATTATTTTGCTCTGTCTTTAAAATATATTAGTAAACAGCCTGGGTGCTGTGGCTCATGCCTGTAATCCCAGCGCTTTGGGAGGCAGGTGGATCACATGAGGTCAGGAGTTCGAGACCAACCAGGCCAACATGGTGAAACCCTCTCTCTACTAAAAATACAAAAAAATTAGCCAGGCATGGTGGCACGCGCCTGTAGTTCCAGCTACTCAGGAGGCCAAGGCAAGAGAATCACTTAAACCTGGGAGGCAGAGTCTGCAGTGAGCCAAGATCACGCCACTGCATTCCAGCCTGGGCGACAGTGAGGCTCCATCTCAAAATAAAATATAAAATATAAAATAAAAGAAAAAAATAAAATAGTAAACACTACTTACTCATCACCTGCACCACTACCATTCTCTTCCAGGCCACCATCATCCCTCTCCTGTATTAGAGCAATAACTTCCTAACTGCTTTTTTCATGCTCCCTTTCAGTACGTTCTTACCATCATAGTGAGAGTGAGACTTTTTGAAAAATGTAAGTTCTGTCACTTTTTAAAATTTATTTATTTATTTATTTATTCATTTGAGAAGGAATCTTGTTCTGTTTCCCTGGCTGGAATGCAGTGGTGTGATCTCAGCTCACTGCAACCTCCACCCACTGGGTTCAAGTGGCTCTCCTGTCTCAGCCTCCCGAGTAGCTGGGATTACAGGCAGTGCCACCATACCCGGGTAATTTCTGTATTTTTAGTAGATTGGGAGTTTCACCATGTTGGCCAGGCTGGTCTCAAATTCCTGGCCTCCAGTGATCTGCCCGCCTTGGCCTCCCAAAGGATTACAGACGTGAGCCACTGCGCCCAGCCTGTCACTTTTTTTTGTTTTTTTTTTCAAGCTGGGGTCTTGCTCTGTTGCCCAGACTGGAGTATAGTGGCAAGATTGTGACTCGTGGCAACCTCAAACTCCTAGGCTCAAACAATCCTCCCACTGCAGCCTCCCAAGTAGCTGGGACTGCAGGAATGTGTCACCACATGCAGCTAATAGTTTTTAAGTTTTTTATAGAAACAATCTCCCTACATTGCCCAGACTGGTCTTTAACTCCTGGCCTCAAGTGATCCTCCTGCTTTGGCCACCCAGGTGTTGGAATTACAGGTGTGAACCACTGTGCCCAGTGTCATGTTGCCTTTCTACTCCAACATTCATGTCTTCCCAACCCCCTCACAGGTAAAAAATCAGTCTTTAGGGTTGGGTGTGGTGGCCCACACCTGTAATCCCAGCACTTTGGGAGTCTGAGGTGGGTGGATCACGAGGTCAGGAGTTCGAGACCATCCTGGCCAACATGGTGAAACCTCATCTCTACTAAGCATACAAAAATTAGCCGGGCGTGGTGGCACATGCCTATAATCCCAGCTACTCAGGAGGCTGAGGCAGGAGAATTGCTTGAACCCGGGAGGCAGAGGTTGCAGGGTTGCAGTGAGCCAAGATTGCGCCACTGCACTCCAGCCTGGGCGACAGAGCAAGACTCCGTCTCGGCGGGGAAACAAACACAAGCAAACAAAAAAATCAATCTGTAAAAGTGCCTTTAAATACAAGGCACTACATTCGCTTGTATCTCTGACCTAAACTACTACTCTTCACTCCCTCGCTGGTCTCACAGCCTTTCTGTTGCATTCCCTTTACCTGAATGGCTTTTTCCCCATAAGCCACTTTGCCAGTTCCTTTACTTCCTTAAGTTTTTAGTCTAATATCATCACCAAAGATCTGCCTTGACTATTTTTATTATTGTTGTTACTTTGACATGTAAACAAGAGAAATGTATTTCTCACAGTTGTGCAGACTCGAAGTCTGAGATCAGGGTGCCAGCATGGCTGAGTTCTGTGAGGGCCTCTTCTGGGTTGCAGATTGTCTTCTTCTCATTATATCTTCATATGACAGAAGGAGCCCTTAATACTTTCTTAAATGTTTTATCTTGGAAATTTTCAAACATGTACAAAGAAACATAGAGAACATTAACCATCATACTTAAATCGTTCTTTTTGTTGTTGTTGTTGTTGTTGTTGTTGTTGAGATGGAGTTTTGCTCTTGTTTCCCAGGCTGGAGTGCAGTGAGTGGCATGATCTTGGCTCACCGCAACCTCCACCTCCCGAGTTCAAGCGATTCTCCTGCTTCATCAACCTTCCAAGTAGCTGGGATTATAGGCATGCGCCACCACACCCAGCTAATTTTGTATTTTTTGGTACAGATGGGGTTTCTCCATGTTGGTCAGCCTGGTGTCGAACTCCCGACCTCAGGTGATCTGCCTGCCTCAGCCTCCCAAAGTGCTGGGATTCCAGGCATGAGCCACTTCACCCGGCCACTTAAATCATTCTTAACAAAATTAATAATTTATTATTATCTAGTACCCAGTCCGTGTTCAGGTGTCCCTAGTTGTCTCCAGAATGATATTTTACAGTTGTTTTTACGAACATGGCCCACACGTTGTATTTGGTTGATAATGACCAACCAAAACCTCTCTGCCGGTCAGGTGCTGCGGTTCACACATGTAATCCCTGCACTTTGGGAGGCCGAAGCAGGAGGATCACTTGAACCTACAAGTTCAAGACTAGGCTGGGCAACATAGTGGAACCCCCTCTGTACAAAAAAAATAACAAAAATTAACTGGTGTAGTGTCATGTGCCTATAGTACCAACTACTCGGGAGGCTGAGGCGGCAGAAGGGTTACTTGAGCCTGGGAGATCGAGGCTGCAGTGAGCCGTGATCATACCACTGCGCTCCAGCCTGAGTGACACAGTGAGATCCTCTCTCAAAAAAAAAAAAAAAAAAATGGGCCGAGTGTGGTGGCTCACGCCTGTAATCCCAGCTCTTTGGGAGGCCAAGGCGGGCGGATCATGAGGTCAGGAGATCGAGACCATCCTGGCTAACATGGTGAAACCCCGTCTATTAAAAATACAAAAAATTAGCTGGGCGTGGTGGCAGGCACCAGTAGTCCCAGCTACTCGGGAGGCTGAGGCAGGAGAATCACTTCAACCTGGGAGGCGGAGGTTGCAGTGAGCCAAGGTCGCACCGCTGCACTCCAGCCTGGGCGATGAGCAAGACTCCATCTCAAAAAAAAGAAAAAACAAAAATGTTTAACTCATAGGGTTTGAGTTTCTTAGTCTGTGTTAAGCACTTAGAATAGTCCTTGGCACCTAGTAGATGTTCAACTAATATTATTCTTATTAGTCTCAGTACCAACTTCTCATAGTATGACCATCACACCATGCTAAACAGGATTCTAATATTTAAAGACATCATGTTTTTTGTTTTGTTTTGTTTTGTTTTTTATTTTTTTTGAGACAGAGTCTTGCTCCACTGTCCAGGCTGGATTGCAATGGCGCAGTCTCAACTCACCGCAACCTCCGCCTCCTGGGTTCAAATGATTCTCCTGCTTCAGCCTCCTGAGTAGCTGGGACTACAGTTGCCTGACACCACACCCGGCTAATTTTTTTGTATTTTTGGTGGAGCCACGGTTTCGCTGTGTTGGCCAGGCTGGTCTCAAACTCCTGACGTCGTGATCCGCCAACCTTGGCCTCCCAGAGTGTTGGGATTACAAGCATGAGCCACCATGCCCGGCCAAGACATTGGTTTTTTATATAACATGCAAGTTGCCTTCTTAATTTGGTAATAGTGATTTTTTTGCAACTTAGAAGAAGAACTGGACATATTGGGTACATAGAGACACTGAGTTGGCCTTGAAGAAGGTGTCTTTCGAAATTTTCTAGGTCTGTCATATGGCGTTAGAAGTCAAATGTTAAAATCTAGTCTTCAGCCAGGCGTGGTGCCTCATGCCTGTAATCCCAGCATTTTGGGAGGCCTTAGTGAGAGGATTGCTCGAGGCCAGGAGTTGAAGACCAGCCTGGGAAACATAGTGAGACTCCACCTCTACCAAAACAGCAACAACAACAACAACAAAACAATTTAGCCAAGCATAGTGGCACACACTTACACACCCAGCTAATCCCAGCTACTTGGGAGCCCAAGGCAGGTGGATTGTGTGAGCCTAGGAGATCGAGGCTGCAGCTCGCCATGGTTTGCCACTGCACTACATCCTGGGCAACAGAGCGAGACCCTGTATCCAAAAAAAAAAAAAAATCCTCATGTAAGTTGTAACTCATACTCTGTTTTTGGCTTTTCTCTATTTACATCAAAAAGTGAGCACAGCCCAAGATGCAGTATTATACCCTATACTTTTCTCTAAACATAGTAATGTATTTGGAGACCTCTTAGATTCTTAATTTTCAACTCTTAGTTATTTCAAGAATTCTCTTGATTTTCTTAATTTCATGTATGCATTTCTGACAGGCCAGTGTTCACAGTTGGCCTCAGAGAATTCCAGAGTTGAATGAGACTTTTAAGATATCCATCCCTTGCTTGATTACTCAGTTTGATCATGGTTGTGGTCCAGTGGCAACCAGTGGTGGGTGGGTTTTTGGAGTGTCTTGGCAATTTAGAAATTGGTTCTATATGGTATGAGATTCTGTATGTATAAATAATGACTTAGCTTCTTTACTTGAAAGAAAAGAGTACCTCTTGTTAAGGATGCCAGCAATTTGTTACTACTTTTTTTCATTTTAACAAAGCTAATACATATACTAGTAATCAGAGGCTGGGCATGGTGGCTCCCGCCTGTAATCCCAGCACTTTCGGAGACCAAATTGGGCAGATCACCTGAGGTCAAGAGTTCGAGACCAGCCTGACCAACATGGATAAACCCCGTCTCTACTAAAAATACAAAATTAGCTGGGCGTGGTGGCGCATGCCTGTTATCCCCCAGCTACTTGAGAGGCTGAGGCAGGAGAATTGCTGAACCCGGAAAGTGGAGGTTGCAGTGAGCCAAGATTGTGCCATTGCACTCCAGCCTGGGCAACAAGAGTAAAGCTCCATCTCAAAAAAAATAATGATGATGATAATAGTAATCAGAACTCTAGATCTGGGAATAACCCTGTATCTATTTCTTTACATTTTTTTTTCATTAATGTATTTATCACTGTTTTTTTGTTTGTTTGTTTTTCTTTGCAGGCCTCAGCTGTTGAAGAACGCTCTGCAGAGAGCAGTAGAGAGAGGCCAGTTAGAACAGATAACTGGCAAAGGTGCTTCAGGGACATTCCAGGTTAGAAATCAGAGGCCTGGTTGTGGAGAAGTGCTTTTTAAAGTTTTTGGTTTCAGGACCTCCTTCCTTATACTGTAAAAATTTATTGAGGAACCTCAAATAATTTTTGTTTATGTGGGTTGTATCTGTCAACATTTACTATGTTAGAAACTAACACTGAGGTCTGGGTGTGGTGGCTCACATCTGTAATCCCAGCACTTTGGGAGGCTGAGGCGGGCGGATCACCTGCGGTTGGGAGTTCGAGACCAGCCTGGTGAAACCCCGTTGTCTCTACTAAAAATATAAAAATGAGCTGGGTGTGGTGGCACGTGCCTGTAGTCCCAGCTACTTGGGAGACTGAGGCAGGAGAATCACTTGAATGCGGGAGGTGGAGGTTGCATTGAGCTGAGATCGCACCACTGTGCTCTAGCCTAGGTGACAGAGTGAGATTCCATCTCAAAAAAAAAAAAAAGAAAATTAACTGAGGAAAAATTTAAATATTTATTGATTTACTTTAAAATAATAGTAGAAAACCCATTACATGTTAACATAAATTACATATTTTTTAGTGAAAAATAACTGTCCTCCCCCTTCACCTCCCAGCCCTTTTTTTGAGACAGTGTTTCGCTCTGTTTCCCAGGCTGGAGTGCAGTGGCACAATCGCAGCTCACTGTAGCCTCTATCTCCCAAGTTCAAGCGATCCTCCAGCGCCAGCCTCCCAAAGTGCTGGGATTGTATCTGTCTCCCCCAATTTTTTTTTTAATGAGAAGTCGTCAGGCACTGTTTACATTTTTGCAAATGTCTTTAACGTCTAGCATAACAGAAGACAGCTAGTATCTGTTCCAGTTTATTTCGGGTTACTTATTTGAAGAAAATCTAACCTCACACAGAAATACAGTTAGAAAATGATGGAATATTTTAAGATAACTTTCAGATAGTTGTAGAAATTATTATTTCATACTACACCAAAACTCAACAAATTGTTATTTTTTAGCAGCTTTATTGAGGTCGATTTACATACCATATACAATTTAATTTATATAATTACAATTTATAACCCAGTGATTTTTAGTAACTTTATAGAGTTGTACAACTGTTACAGTCCAATTTTCGGACATTTCTGTCACCCAAAAAAGATCCCTGGTAACCATTTGCAGTCACTCCCTATTCCAAAAGCAACCTCAGGCAACCTCTAGTCTGTTCTCTGTCTGCACATGTGCTTTTTCTTCATGTTTCATGTGGATAGAATCCTGTACTATGTGATCTTCTGTGTCTGGCTTCTTTGACCTTGATGTTTTTGAGTTTTATCCACATTGCAGCATGTACCAGTACTTTCATTCTTTTTTATTGTCCAATAGTATTTCATTCTATGGATGTCACATTTTGTTTATCTATTCATGAGATGATGGTGGACATTTGGATTATTTCTACTTTTCAGCTAATTATGAATAATACTGCCTATGAACATTTATGTTCAAGTCTTTGTGTGGATATGTTTTCAGGACTTGCTGGGCCATATGGTAAATTTATGTTCTAAGAAACTGGCAGTGTTTATAAGGGCTCAAGTCATTTTGTTTTGTTTTGTTTTGTTTTGTTTTGAGATAGGGTCTCACTCTGTCACCTAGGCTGGAGTGCAGTGGTGTGATCTCAGCTCACTGCAACCTCCACCTCCCTGGCTCAATTGATCCTCCCATCTTAGCCTCCCTAGTATATGGGATTATAGGACACCACCATGCCTGATTAATTTTTCTGTTTTTTATAGAAATGGGGTTTCGCCGTGTTGCCGAGGCTGCTCTTGAACTTCTGGGTTCAGTGAAGTAGTCTGCCTGCCTCAGCTTCCTGAGGTGTTGGAATTACAGGTGTGACCCACCTGACCAGGGCTCAATTTTCTCCATATCCTCTTCAACATTTGTTACTCTTTTTTATTATAGCCATACTAGTGGATATAGGGTATCTCATTGTAGTTTTGATTGGCATTTCCCTAATAGTTACTGATGTTGAGCATCTCTTGTGCTTAAGGCCATTTGTTTATTTTCTGTAGTGAAATGTGTATTCAGATCTTTTGCCCATTTTTAAAATGGAGTTATTCGCTATAAGAATTCATTACTCTAGATATAAAGTCCCATCAAGATTTTCTCCTGTGACTTTCTCAGTAGTATCTTTTGAAGTGTTTAATTTTTGATGAAGTCCTATTTATCATTTTTAAAAATTGCTTTTGCAGTTTTATGGTTATCTAAGAAACATTGCCTAAGTAAATTTACTCCTATGTTTTGGAGTTTTATAGTTTTGGCTTTTAAATTTAGGTCTGTGATCTATATTGTTTTGTTTATAGTGTGAGGTAAGGGTATAATTTATCTTTTTGCATGTGGGTATCTGATCATCCTAGCACCTTTTATTGAAAAGACTGTCCCTTCCCTATTGAATTGCCTTGGCATCTTATGAAAATCAATTGACCATAAATACAAGGGTTTATTTCTGGATTCTGAGTTCTCTTTTGTTGTTCTGTATTTGTATCCTTCATGCCAGTACTCCACTGTCTTATTGGCTGTAGCTTTATAGTGAATTTTGAAATTTGGAATTGTAAGCCCTCTAACTTTTTCAGGAATGTTTTGACTATGCTGGGTCCTGTACAGTTCCATACAAATTGTCCATTTCTGCCAAAAAACAGACAGCTGGAGTTTTAGTAGGAATTGCATTGAACCTATAGATCAATTTGGGGAGACTCACTATCTTTACAATGTTGAGTTTTCCAATCCATGACACAGAAGGTCTCTTTATTTAATTTCTCTCAGTAGTCTTTTGTAGTTTTCGGTGTACGAGTCTTGAATTTTTTTTGTTAAATCTATTGCCAAGTATTTTATTCTTTTTCCATGCCGTCATGAGTGGTGGAAGTGTTTTCTAATTTTCGTTTTCAGGTTGTTAATGCTAACCTATAGAAGTACAATTGATTTGTCCATTGCTCTTGTGTCCTTCACCCTTGCTAAACTCACCAGTTGTAGTAGTTTCTTTGTGAATTCCATACAGTTTTCTATATACAGGATCCGTTATCTGCAAATAAAGAGCATTTTACTTCTTCCTTTCCAGTCTGGATGTCTTTTACTTCTTCTGATTGCCTGATTGCTCTAGATTAACCTCCATTACAGTGTTGAGTAGAAGTAGTAACAGCAGACATCTTTGCCTTGTTCCACATCCTGGAGAGAAAACATTCAGTCTTTCACAAGTTAGCTGTAGGTTTTTCATAGATGCCTATTGTCAGGTTGAGCAAGTTCCCTTCTATGCTACTAGTTTCCTGGGAGTTTTTTTTTAATCATGAATGGCTGTTGGATTTGTCAAGTGCTTTTTCAGTGTCTGTTGAGATGATTGTGTGGTTTGTGTCCTTTGTTCATATGGTCTGTTAACATTATTTGTTTTGTGGTAAATTCTTTAAAGTTTAGTTGCCATGTGGAACCTGAAACCATAATCAGTGAATTTCTTGGACTATGTTACCTTAAAATTTATTGTACTTTGAATAGATATTTTAATCCAACATAATTTTGTAGCACAATACATTGGTCATTTGAAAAACAGTGGCTCGCAGTTATGTAGATTTTCCAAATGTTGGCATTTCATTTTATACGATAACAAAAATCACAGTCATTGGTATCGGCCACTGATCTTATAAGAACAGTATTTAAGTATTGGGAAAATAACAAACTCACAGTGATAGATACAAGTTTTTCAGAATTTAAATTTTCTCTTGAAAGTTTGAATTTTATCATTGGCAACAAATACTATTGTTTTTTGACATGGCCGGCTCTTAGTTCATTTTCAAGATACTGTCTACCTCATAACCAGTAGGTTAGCTGTCAGTTATTTTTTCAAGTAAAAAAAGTATTCCAGGCTGGGCGCGGTGGCTCACACCTGTAATCCCAGCACTTTGGGAGGCTGAGGCCGGCGAATTACGAGGTCAGGAGATCGAGACCATCCTGGCTAACACGGTGAAACCCAGTCTCTAGTAAAAATACAAAAAATTAGCTGGGCATGGTGGCACACACCTGCAATCCCAGCTACTTGGGAGGCTGAGGCAGGAGAATCGCTTGAACCCGGGAGGCGGAGGTTGCAGTGAGCCGAGATCACACCACTGTACTGCCTCCAGCCTGGGTGACAGAATGAGACTCCGTCTCAAAAAAAAAAATTGTTCGAAGAAAAGTGCAGCTAATCCAGCTGATAACTCTAACAATTACACAAGTGCTTTTCCTGGATACCATCATGTCTGCATATGTAGCAGATACGGATTATGTGTTCTTCCTATTTCATCACATAAAATATTCTAAAGACACATATTCAGAAGTTGAGATAATTTTTAGAACTTTATCAAGGGCATTCTAAGTGAATTGGTGCCCTTTTTTAAAACCATAAGTACATAGCAGTAAAGAAGACAATAACCACATTTTTGTGCCTCTGCCTTTTTCTGTGGTAAGCTGACAGCAGTTTTACTCACCATTGCTTCTGCACCATCAGTGCAAATGTCAAAATAGCGAAAAGGCCAGGTGTGGTGATTCACACCTGTAATCCTAGCACTTTGGGATGCCCAGGCGGGCGGTTTACTTGGTCAGGAGTTTGAGGCCAGCCTGGCCAACGTGGTGAAACCCCGTCTCTACTAAGAATACAAAAATTAGCCAGGTGTGGTGGCGGGTGCCTGTAGTCCCAGCTACTCTGGAGAAAGGTGCAGGAGAAGCTCTTGAATTCGAGAGGCGGAGGTTGCAGTGAGCCCAGACCACGCCATTGCACAACAGAGTGAAACTCTGTCTCAAAAAAAAAAAAAGACAGTGAAAAAGCAAATCACATTTTAAGTTTTTGTTTGCTTTTTGAGATGGAGTCTTGCTGCAATGAGTACAGTGGCTTGATCTCGGCTCACTGCAACCTCCACCTCTGAGGTTCAAGCGATTCTCCTGCCCCAGCCTCCCAAGTAGGTGGGATTACAGGCATGTACCACCACACCCGGCTAATTTTTGTATTTTTGGTAGAGACAGGGTTTCACCATGTTGGCCAGACTGGTCTTGAGCTCCTGACCTCAGGTGATCCACCCGTCTCAGCCTCCCAAAGTGCTGGGATTACAGGCATGAGCCACCACGTCTGGCCTATCTTAGTTTTATTATACGAATAGTTTTGATTTTGCAGATCCTCTGAAAGGGTCTCAGGAACCCAGACGGTTGTAACCAGACCATTCTTTAAGAACCACTAACAGTTTTGTAGAGCATTTCTGGTTTTCTCCTTTTCCCTTTTTGCGTATTATTGCTAACCTTTGTTCCCACACCTTTCATTTTCAAAGTATGCTATGTAATTTTCTTTTGTATGATACTCTTTTTTTTTTTTTTTTTTTAGTTTATTTATTTATTTATTTTTAGAGACAGAGTCTTGCTCTGTCACTCAAACTGGAGTATAGTGATGTAATCATAGCTCACTGTAGCCTCAACTTCCTGGGCTTAAGCCATCCTCCCGCCTCAGCCTTTCATGTAGGTAGGACTACAGGCATGCCACCATTCATAGCTAGTTTTTTAATTTTTAGTAGACAGAAGGTCTCGCCATGTTGCCCAGTTTGGTCTTGAACTCTTGGCCTCAAGCAGTCCTCCCCCATTAGCCTCCCAAAGTACTGGGATTACTGTGCTCCCTGATACCCTCAATATTTATCAAAATTTTTCATTGCTATTTTCCTCATAGGATTAAAAGGGCTATTTATTATTTTTTATAACTACAGCTGACCCTTGAACAACATAGGGGTTAAAGGTGCAGATCCCCCATGCATTAAAAAAATTTCATACATAACTTTAGATTCCCAGCAAACTTGACTCTTAATAGCCTACTGTTGACCGGAAGCCTTACAGTTAATACACATTTTGTGTGTTGTATGTATGATATAATGTACTCTTACAATAAAGCTAGAGAAAAGAAAATATTATTGAGAAAATCATAAGAAAGAGGAAATATGGCCAGCCACGGTGGCTCACACCTGTAATCCCAGCACTTCGGGAGGCCGAGGTAGGCGGATATCCTAAGGTCTGGAGTTCAAGACCAGCCTGGCCAACATGGTGAAACCATGTCTCTACTAAAAATAAAAAAATAAGCCAGGCCTGGTGGTGGATGCCTGTAATCCCAGCTACTTGGGAAGTTGAGGCAGGAGAATTGCTTGAACCCAGGAGACAGAGGTTGCAGTGAGCCGAGACCACGCCATTGCAATCCGGCCTGGACGACAGAGCAAGACTCCATCTCAAAAAAAAAAAAAAAGAAAAGAATATATTTACTCTTCATTAAGTGGAAGTGGATGATCGTAAATGTCTTTATCCTTGTCATCTTCGAGTTAAGTAGGCTGAGGAGGACAAGGAGGTATTGGTCTTGCTGTCTTGGGGTGGCTGGCAGAGGCAGAAGAAAATCCACATATAAGTGGACCAGCACAGATAAAACTGTGTTGTGTTCAAGGGTCAGATGTACTTCATTTTTCAGATTCAGAAAAGTGAAATATTCTCAAATAAAATAATGTATGTTTATTTATTTATTTATAGACAGAATCTTGCTCTGTCGCCAAGGCTGGAGTTCACTGGCATGATTTCGGCACACTGCAACCTCCGCCTCTTGGGTTCAAGTGATTCTCCTGCCCCAGCCTCCCAAGTAGCTGGGACCACAGGCACTTGCCACCAAACCTGGCTATTATTATTATTTTTTTTTTTTTTGTATTTTTAGTAGAAACAGGTTTTCGCCGTGTTGGCCAGGCTGGTCTCGAACTCCTGGCCTTAAGTGATCTGCCTGCCTGTTCCTCCCAAAGTGCTGGGACTATAGGTGTGAGCACCCAGCCAAAAGAATCTTAATTTTTAGGGACCTAACTGGTTAACCTGCTTATTGGGGTACAGTTGTCGGTATCTTTGGGTTAGGTTGGCTATCATTTTAGGGTGGATGGAGGGTAGATGGAAGAAGAAAATATCCATAGGAGGGTTGGGACTTCTCAGTTAGATTGAATACCTGTTGAATGGGAAGAGAAAGTCCCTAAGCTGACAATTTATTGTAAAACATATCTGTGCTAATAATGCAGGAACTCCGACCCACCTGGTGCAGAGGAGTCTTGTCTTGACCTGCTTTGGGAGAGTGTTGTCTTGATGCTTTTCTCTTCCTCCTTGGAAAACAGCTGAAGAAATCAGGGGAGAAACCCCTGCTTGGTGGAAGCCTGATGGAATATGCAATCTTGTCTGCTATTGCTGCCATGAATGAGCCGAAGACCTGCTCTACCACTGCTCTGAAGAAATACGTCCTAGAGAATCACCCAGGAACCAATTCTAACTATCAAAGTAAGACTCAGTTGTATATATTTAACTGGGATTAGGAGAATTTTCTTTTGAAAAAACTATAGAAGTCCAGGTGCTGTGACTCATGCCTGTAATCCCAGCACTTTGGGAGGCTGAGGTGGGCGGATCACGAGGTAGGGAGTTCGAGACCTGTCTGGCCAACATAGTGAAACTCCATCTCTACTTAAAATACAAAAAAATTAGCAGGGTGTGGTGGTTGTGCGCCTGTAGTCCCAGCTACTCGGGAGGCTGAGGCAGGAGAAATGCATGAACCCAGGAAGCAGAGGTTGCAGTGAGCTGAGATCACACCATTGCATTCCAGTCCGGGTGACAGTTGCAAGACTGTGTCTCAAAACAAAAAAAAAAAAAGAAGAAAAAAACATAGAGATCATGCTATTAATGTCAAAGTATTAACTACTGACTGTGAAAACCAAGAGGGAACAGCCTTACAAATTTAATATTTACAAAAAGAAAAATAATCAAAACTGAATTCTTAATTTAAAGCATATCCTTGTAAGAAGTCGATTTTACTTTACTGTAAATTTTATTTTTTTAACTGATTTTATTTTTCTGATTTTTATTGTAATTCAGATAAATCTCTGGGTTCAAAACAACTCTAAATTATAGTATATTTTTTCCTACTTCTGGATGTTCACCAAAAACATCTAATTTTACTTTGAAACAAAGCCAGGATTTTAGAATACTTACTACTTACATTATTTCTTATTAACCTAAGCCCCACAACAGAAAATACTTTATTTCAGTAAAGTATATTTACTCTAGGAGGTGGTGATTTGAGATGAGACACCCTGCCTTATCAGCATTATCATGTATGGATTGGTGAGACTGGGTGACTTCTCAATGAACTATTAGAAGAGACACAATGTTGTAGGGTGAGGGATATGGAAATTAAGTAACAGAAGAAGGCAATCCAGAATATATTATTGTAAATTAAAAGGTAATTTTGAAGTGTTTTTTTTTTATTTAGACGGAGTCTCACTCTGTTGCCCAGGCTGGGGAGCGTAGTGGTGCGATCTCTGCTCACTGCATATTTCGCCTCTCCTGGGTTCACGCCATTCTCCTGCCTCCACCTCCTGAGAAGCTGGGACTACAGGCATCTTTAACACACCCAGCTAATTTTTGTTTGTTTGTTTTTGTTTTGTTTCTGTTTTTTTTGGTAGAGTCAGGGTTTCACCGTGTTAGCCAGGATGATCTCGATCTCCTCACCTCATGATCTGCGCCACCTCGGCCTCCCAAAGTGCTAGGATTACAGGCATGAGCCACCACGCCTGGCCTATTTCATGATTTTCTGTTTGCCAGATGTTTTAAGAGAAGATGAATTTGGTTAACAAGTCTTTCAGTTTCATTGATATTTGCAGCTGTTTTTTGGATACTGGATCACCATAAAATATATTTTGGATATGTCTCTGTAAGGAAGATGAGAATGAAGGACTTCAGGAACCATGATACTGTTTTGTTACTGTTTACTGACTTATGAATAATTCGTTCTGTTCCTCTTTATAAGATATTCTCCTAGATGATTATCAATACCTATAGGTAGATGTTTACATGAATGGAAATAATTAAATATTTAATTTTAGGTCTGCTGTTTATGTGCTACCTTAGAGCAAGTCACTTAACTACTTTGAGCTCAAGTCACTTAACCACTCTGGAGTTTTTTCTTTTCTATGAAATAAGGTATTTGACTCAATGGTGTCTAATGTCTCTTTTCATTATAACTCTTGCCAGGTATGGTGGCTCATACCTGGAGTCCCAGCTGTTTGGGAGGCCAAGGTGGGAGTATTGCTTGAGCCCAGGAGTTTGAGACCAGCCTGGGCAACGTAGTGAGACTTTGTCTCTATATTTTGCAAAATTTTTAAATATATATATGTATGTATGTATATAATTTAACTCTTGCCAAACTTATAGGCATTAAATAAATGTTTAATGAATTAAATACCTTTGAACACATAGGATTCGCTTAGTGTTTGTCAGTTACTATATGTGACAGGATATTAAATTGATGGGCATCTGTTTGTGGTTGAGGGGTTGAGGAAATTATCTGAATAACTAGATAACTTTCATTTCTGAATTTTTTTGTTTAGTGCATTTGCTGAAAAAAACCCTGCAGAAATGCGAAAAGAATGGGTGGATGGAACAGATCTCTGGGAAAGGGTTCAGTGGCACCTTCCAGCTCTGTTTTCCCTATTATCCCAGGTGAGCACTTAGCCTATAATCACTGTAAATGTATAATCTGATTCTAAGTTACACATTTAGTTTAATTTATTTTACCCTCATTACTGTTTTAGTGAACTGGAAATACAGTCATCCTTTGTTATGTGTGGGGCATTGGTTACAGAACTGCCCGCATACCCAAATGCACATGTATTCAGCCCTGTGGAATCCATGTATCTGAAAAGTCTGTCCTCCTTGTATGCAGGCTTTGCATCCTTCGAATGTTATATTTCTGATCTGTGTCTGGTTGAAAAAAAAGTCCACGTATAAAGTGGACTCATGCGTTTCAAACCTGTGTTGTTCAAAGGTCAACTGTATTTGAAAATAAAGATGACTTAAGGCAGTATTATTTTGGAGTAAAAGGTTTTTGTTTAAAAATAGGGATTTTAGCCAGGCATCAGATTATTTGAGATCCTTGGATGGTCACTTTGATATTCATTCCTCCTTTATCAAGTAAATGATAATGACAGATTCTTAGAGGATTATGAATGAGTTTTTGTTTTTGTTTTTTGAGACAGGGTCTCACTCTGTCGCCCAGGCTGGAGTAGTGGTATAATCTCAGCTCACTGCAACCTCCGCCTCCTGGGCTCAAGTGATCCTCCCACCTCAGTCTCCCACGTAGCTGAGACTACAGATGTGTGCCACCACACCCGGCTAATTTTTGTGTTTTTTGTAGAGATGGGGTCTCCCCATGTTATCCAGGCTGGCCTTGATCTCCTGGGCTCAAGCAGTCCTCCCGCCTCAGCCTCCCAAAGTGATGGGATTATATGTATAAGTTTTAATTGTCCAATACCAAGTGGGGAGAACATTGACTGTTTCCAAGAATCTTAACTCTGCCTTCATACTGTAGAGACAGGGACACTTTTACTTGAAAATTTGTCTCTTGCAAATACCTTATTTATTCTTTGAAACAAAAAAATGTGTTGAGCACCTCCTGTGGTCCAAGCATTGTTTCATGCACCGGTGTTAAAGCCTTTTGATTTCCAGTAAAGTACATAACATATACCACTAAGACCCTGTTTTAGCAAGACTATTGTGTAACTTTCTTATATTTTTCTGTACAAACATAAGTTACTTGGCTGAATACATATTATATGAATTTTTCAAACATTAAATTAAATTCCCAAAGTCACACATACAAAATGTTACATTCTGCCAGGTGTAGTGGGATGCACTTGTAGTCCTAGCTACTTGGGAAGGTGAGGTGGGAGGATCCCTTGAGCCTAGGAATTTGATTCCAGCCTGAGCAATATAGCAAGACCCTGTGTCTGAAAAAAACAAGAAACACACACACATATATGTATGTATATATGTTATCATTTAAGGACATGTTAATCAAAGGAATCAAGGTTTATACCACCAAGGACAAAAAAGAGTTTAGGAGATCGTTGCTGAATTTCTGTAAAGCTTTGAAGAGATTTAGGCCTTTGAGGTCTTCTGTTAAGACTTGGAGGTCTTTTGCCAGTATTTATTATGAGGCTGAAGTGTGTATTCCATGCAGACTGTTCATTGCTGTGTACTCATTGGCTAATACAGTGCCAGACACATATTAGGGGTTTAAGTAGTTGTTTACTAAATAAATGATTATGGGTTAATTTTATTAAATAGTGGGTATAGAATTAGGCATGGTACAGGACTTTTATAGATTTGGCATAACTTTATATGTATGTTCAAAATACGGTAAATTGTAACCTCATACATGTAACCTAATTTGACATTTTTGGGAAGGGTGGGAAGAAGTGGGAAATGTCCAGGTAAGAGCATCTAGGTTCACATTATTTTTCTTGTCTTATATGGGACTTGTGTTTTAATCTAATTTTTCCCCCCATAGCCCAGGAGTTCTATTTCCGAAGAAAGAGCCAGACGATTCTAGAGATGAGGATGAGGATGAAGATGAGTCATCAGAAGAAGACTCTGAGGATGAAGAGCCGCCACCTAAGAGAAGGTGAAAACCCCTTGTGGGGAGCACACTAAATACCTCAGAGCTGAAAAATAGTACTATAGGAGGAGCTGAAGCTAAAAAGTGTTTCAGAAACTCAGGACCCCTCTCAAGTTCTTTATATAAATTTGGATTGATCTTCTCTCTTGAAAATCAAGGGCTCCAAACTTTTAGGGCAAGCCTGTGTGTATCCATAGTTTAGTTATTCAAAGAAAGATAATTCCACATTTCCCTAGGAAAAACGTCATGAAATTATGTCTAGACTTCATGAATTGGTTGAATTTTATTTTAGTAAAATCTCTAGTAAAAAAATTGTCACATTCCTATTCTTAACATAAGTGACCGCTTCATATGCCATTTCTCTCTCTCTCTCTCTCTCTCT